ATTAAATTTCTCTGGGGCATCACATTGATTAAGTTTATTAGTGTTAGTAGCTGTCTTTTCGATGATAATTTTAAGAAATTTGCTGATTTTATAAAGACAGGATTTTAAATGTTAGATTCCTAAATTCAGAATTTATTGGAAATTGAAACTGGTTGTAGTGTAGAATTTAAAATACCTGGTTGGTTATAAGTGCGATGGGGTGAACTCTAGGGTATATAAAGGTCAATGTGGGTGGTTTTGCGACAAACACTCGCGGAGAAGCCTTCATATGTATATAAGGAGGTTGATAAATGATAGTTTTATGTTTTTCGTATTCTATAGTGATTTTACAGCAGAGTGTTCTTTGTTAAATCTTTGTACAGAAAGCTAGGCTTGTTATCGACCGGAAAAACTTGTGAATGCGTCATCAAGGAATCGTAGCCAATATACAGGAAGAAATAATTTAATGATCGGGGTATACAAATCATAAATAATTTACAAATCACAGGGGAAAATGGATTACCTGTGGATGTACCATCGATCTGATCACATTTTACGTTGTTAAAATGCAAGTTGGTCATTTTTGTAGCCAATTTTAACAATTCTGCAAGAAAAAGGCAAGGAAGAAAATTTCTAGGTCCTACATCCCGAAGAAGATGGGGAGACAGACTTGAAAGGAAAGCTGGATTTATTGCACGTTCATCTTTTTGTGACAGACAATTATTTGAGGGTTCTACATCTCACAAAAGATGAGGAGACAGACTTTGAAGGAAACTTGAACGTGTTGTGTGAGCATCTGTTTGCAACAGACGATGATCTGAGGCTCCTATGTTCCTGTAAAAGTTTACATGTCAACATTTATTGATATTCTTTCTTGTGATGAGACAAAACAACCAACTAACCACATGTCAACATTTATTAATTTTTTTTTCTTGTGATGAGACAAAACAACCTACTAACCACATGTCAATATTTATTGATATTTTTTCTTGTGATGAGACAAAACAACCAACTAACCACATGTTAATATTTATTGATATTTTTTTCTTGTGATGAGACAAAACAACCTAGTAACTACTAAACAATCAGTTTATTGTTTAGTTAATTTGTTAATTTGTCTTTATTTCTCACATACCTCATATACTCCAACAATTATACTTTTGATATTTTTACAACTGACGATAAAATGAATCATGGTACATGTTAAATCACTGTAACATGATGAACCATGTGCATGGTAAGTCGCTATAAAATGGTTAATCATGCTGCATGGTAAGACCTACAATATCACTTTCTTAATATACTGTTAGTGCATAATCGTTATTCGAATGTACTTTTCCGATACTTTAAAAAACAAAGGGGCTTTTCAGGTTTTTTTTTCAACTTAAAATTTTCTTATTGAACATATGCAGTTTGATAAAGAGAGCCTAAGAAACATTAAGTACTTTTCTAAGAAGTGTTTGTATACGACAGTTGTGGAGCATTTGCAGGATTAATTTGTTGTTTGTGAGATTCTTGTAAAATCTATCCTTTTTTTCTTATATTGTTGACTTTACTTTCGTATAGTAGAACATTCATAACAAACTTTGGAACTGGTCTACTTGTGATTTCTGTTAGACGCTGACTAAAACCGGACGTTTTGAATGACTCACATGGGCGAGAGTGCAAAACACACGTCACGGCCTGACGCGCTTTTGAGAAGGTAACAAACAATGCGTACATGTACATGACTAAAAGGGTGAGTAGCGGTGGGGAGGGGGGAGATAGTAGGACAGGTTCTAGAGTAGAAACCAACCGAGCCTTGCTAGGCCAGTCCGGAGAAGCAGGACGCCATATTCGAAAAGTGTAAATCACGTTAATATACCTTTGTTTCCCTCATCTTTAAGTTGGCTGTGTAAAGAATAACTTTGGGAAATGTGTAACAAAGATTTCGTGAAGATTGTAATTTAAGTTCGTTCCTGGCAGAGCTTCTTACGGCCAATCTTTACAGGAACAACCAACAGGTGTTCCTTGCTCTATCTTCAGTTCGAATGTGCAGGTATGCTAGTTCTCATATTGTGCATTAAGACCTGTCGCCGTTATTTTTAGTAACTTGTTAAAATGGAACATTTCCTTAAGTCTGTCATGTTAGTTAATTGTTGTAATTATAACAATAAGATGCTGTACTTGTAGTTGTTTTAGTATAGCTTCTAAAAACGACGAAACTCGTTAAAAATAACAGCTACTCGAACGTCAGAAAGGTTCATTTTACATAGCTCTACTGCTAATACTAGTGTGGCTAATAAGTATTAGTCATATGCTCTACTACTAGTATTAGTATTAGTAGTAGGACTAATAAATGTTAGCCCTATGCTCTAATGCTAATACTAGTAGGGCTAATAAGCATCAGCCCTATGGTATACTGCCATTACTAATAAGGTTAATAAGTACCAGTCCTGCGCCTTATTTCTAATTCTAACTGGGCTAATAGGTATCAGCCCTACTGATAAATTTATATTTTACATTGCTATCAGCTGTTTCCTACCGTTATGTGATGTTTTTGAAGATTTAAAAGGATTAATTCTAGCGTTGAGAGTTTTATCTATAGAACTCTCTCCTTACACTGTAGCTCTTTACATTTGTATTGTAATTTTTATGCTCCTTTTTAAGATAAAACTGTTTTGCATCATTTGATAAAATTTATCTATTCTGTTTTTATGAACTTATGCCTGAATGAATTAATCGTGTGTTAACTATCTAGCTAATAAACAAATACTTTACGAGAGTGACACAGAAGACGCACAATACAAGTTTATGAAATTGTTTGCTCAATTTATTCAAGAAAAAAAAACAATTTACATATTTTGCTGATAAGTCAACTTAAGTTATTTTCATGTAGAAATTATTCGTCATGTAGTAGCCGTAAACACTGTATAATTCAGCTTCTTAAAAATCCCCCAGGGGAGGGGACAACAAACACTTTTGTTAGAGACATATTCTATAATTTATATTCATTTCTTCTTTTCTGTTCCTAATTTATTATAGAAATAAAGTTATACGTTTTATAGATTTTTGTTATGTTCTGTTAGATTATGAGGAAGACAGACCAGTGTTCTGTCAAAACTTGTAGTATGCCCCCCCCCCGAATAAGTCATTTTATTATGCTTATAAATTGTTGTTTTGTAAATTAGTATCACTTGTTTGTGTGTTTTTAATTGCAGCATTCATTTTGTTATGGATACTTCTTATAACAATTCTACGAATAACCAACGATCCATACTTTCCGTTAAAATTGTAATTTTTATGCCGGTTTATTTTTTAAGTTTTTATACATGTTCATGGAATAGACAAAACATTTATAAACTTTTAGTATAGCCATATCCCCGATAGCTATAACTTTTACAATAATTTGCTTAGGAATACAATAGGATGTTTTTTGAATCCTTGTCGATCCCTACTATTAAGTACTACTGTACTTAATAAATTATTTACAGTGTTATGTCTAGTTAAGAGTTCTGTAATGTTCTAGCTTACAGAGTGTTATTCGGTGACGAGGAACCCACTTTGAGACTAATAATGGCTGGAGACGGCTTGAATGGGTAATGAAGAAAAACTTTAATATAAGTTTAACATAACAGCAGATGTACAACGTTTCGACAAGGTTTTGTCATCATCAGCTCTTTCTAACTGCTACTGAGATTGAGAAGCATCTCTACTCTGACCACAAGGTTAGGCTCATATGAAAGGGATAACAACAAAATCAGCCAGTAGAGGCTTCTCCAGGAAGCTAGTGCTACCCCAAGCAAGAATCCAGAAGCTCAACTTAAGAGAAGAAATAAATCCATAAAGAACTCAACTGGCCTACATTTTCTTAGATGATTCTGAGCTATCACAATAGGAGAGATACAAAACCCTTAAGCTAACTCACCTGGATATGACTGATATAATGGATTGTGAAGGAGTAAAATCTATATAGATAAAGCAAAAAAGTGTGTCTGTCTGTCCCTTATCTAACTACTTGTAGGTCACTTGGTCAATCTCAACCAAAAGTTGTGTGATGATAGTTTCAAACCCCCCACTATTGCTTTTATTGAACATTTATCATCTTTGACGTAAGTAACATTGATTATATTCATAAATGGCCCCAAGTCCTTATACCAAAAAAATCTATAAAACAACATACACAGTGTGTGTGTGTATGTAGAGGGCACACAAAGGTCTTATATATTTCAGAGAGTGCATTAACACTCTTTTTGGGGGAATGCAATAAAAAAAATGTCCACCACTATTGCAATCTTTTTATATATATATATATATATATATATAC